TTACACCCTCTCGCCCTCCCTCCAGATTTACCGTCTTGAATCAACCGTCGTTCTTATCTTTGGAATTTTCTTCATGGCAATTGGATTATTCAGCCTCGTTTCTCGCGATCGTGATTCAGAGGGCAATTCGCGACCGTGAGGCGTAACGTTGCGTCATCGCGCGTTCGCTGCCAATCGCGCACGACATCCGAAAACCCGGAAATCGATTCCCCAATGAAATTTCCGCTCGCGGCAGCCGCGAAGTCGTGGAATTCGCGGGATCGCTCGATCATCGACTTTTTTTTAATTTAAATTTTTTGTCAATTAATAATTTACCGCATTTTCGATATACGTTTGTGTATATCGGAAATATACGAGCGAAACAGAAAGTCCCGGATCAGCGTTATCAGGAAACGTGACTCATAGTGACGGCTTCGTGCTTCCTGCTAATTTACCTTCTGGGAACCATCCTCCGGTCGGTTGCCCTGGAACCTGGTGATGTCCACTAGGAATTACCTTGTTACATAATGGCTCAAATTTTTTTTATATTCTTTTTTTTTCATTTACCTCAGTCACCGTCTTCCACGCTTTTTCTAACTAGTGTAACGCGCTTTCGTCGTCCACGTGTCCCTTTCTGTCATGTTACACGTGTCAGCTGTTGTTATTGTTGTCGCTATACGTAAACCTGACACTTGTTGAACGCCATCTGAGTCTCGTACGCGCACTGCCAGGTACGTGCGACCAAGTGCAGTCCCCCTGGGCACCCGCGTCCCGGTGTCACCCGGTCCGCATCAGGAAGCGGACGATCTTAATCAGGATGATCCATCTCGGCGTCAAAGACTGCCCTGATTTTCGTATTCTCGGAAGCTGTATCGTCATGTGGTCCACGTGCTCGCGGACGTCGAATCGGATTCGCGAGTGAGTCACGTAGTCGCTGGGGCAGATAGGCCGCAATTACGTGGAGATTACGCCATTCTCGCAGATGATGTCGTTCGTTCGCGCACGTTTCCTTTTACATTAATACACGTAGTATATACACACTACTATATATACAGGAGACGAACGAGGTCGACGTCGATTAACCGTGATTCCTAGAGGTCGGCACAGTGACACGTATGTTATCCTTGACCTTAATTCAGTCTGCTATACATATATCGTAGGGACCCATAGGTCTCTCGTCATCCTGACACTCGTCGTCGCGATACTCAATAATGTCATTTTTTTTTATCCAACAAAAATTTCGTCGACACGCGTTCTCGCTGACCTTGTGAAATTTTTTTTTTTTCGTGTCCACTCGGAATCGGTTTACCCAAGTTTTGGGTACCCGATCGTCGCGATCCTCGACTTTCCAAGGCCAATCAGGTCTGATATCGATGAGCCAATTATAAGTGTTGCGTCTATGCCAGAACTGTTATCGCGATTAAGTCTAGTCGACGAACCCCGAACACGTGATGGATTCACAGGGCTTTACGCGCAGCGTACATATTAATGGTGGGGCTTCCACGACGGCATTCACTGGCGGCCGGGAGCACGTGGCTCCTTCGGGGAAACGCACGCGCCTAAGGCAGTTACGTAACCCTAGACAAAAGTAAAGGCTCCCACCTCGCGTGGCACGTAGAAGCGTTATCGTGCGGTAGGAGGGAGGGCTGCCCGGTACCAGAGAGGAATCGAAGTTTCTACGGCTGATTGGCTGGACGGATACGTTTTTTATTTACGAAGACGCCAACGATGTCAAGAAGTGTTGCGTAGGAGTGTGAAATGTATATATTTAGCTTATTTGTAAAATTTTTCATACCGATTCAACGTGTCTTACTGGGTACTGCGTCTTGGTCCTTGAAATTTGATTGTCTGTAATACTGTTTTTTTTTTAACGATTTAACACGTGACTCGCATCCGCGGCATACTGCCTGAATTTGTCAGGCATGAGATATACCCGGTTGATCTGCTATACATGCTGGTGTATTATGCTGGAGGCCATTTACTGGCACGGCGTGTTCTAGGTTACCCAGAGTTCCTTCTTCCTCATTCGTAAGCGTAACCTTAGCGACTAAGGCTGCAAGCCAACGCGTGCCTATTATACCAAGCTGGTTCTCTATGCGTCGAATGGATAAGAGGATTACTCACTTGGTAGAAGTACGGGTCTGGAGTGACTGCGGATGGATAAAAGAATTACGAGCGTTTGATCGGCTCTTTTGTAAAATTGATTTTTCTTTGTTGGGCCTTATCGATGTTAGTTTTTTTTTTATCCATGATTCACTTATCGCTTCTCGCGGACGATTTGAGTAGGGATCGTTATTGATGCCGCTGCTCGTCGGTCGGATCGGGGATCCAATTATAGACTGGGAATACGCGGAGTAAACTGGAATGGATTATGGTCCGGACCGGGTTGACCTTGATGTAGTTAGGGGTCGAATTTGTTAAGGTTCGACGATTCTAACCTGGCGTCGCCCTGCACTTGCATTGTTTCAGATGTTCTAAGAAGGCAAATTATGGTGGCAGATTTTGTCGCCCGTCAGAGTGGATCGCCCATCAATGGTGAGACCGCCTGCCTGAACAGCAACATGCCGGCCAGCCACACGATGGCGCACGGAGGTCACGGGGGTCATGGAGGTCACGGTGGACACGGCGGACACGGTGCCCACGATGCCCACGGTCCTCTGCCGCCCCTGACACATCCCTCCCACCATGGGGGCCCGGCGATGCATCAGCAGCAGCATCACCATAACAACGAGGCGCAGGTAACCCATCCGGAAAACTTCTCCCCGAACTTCGACATCAGGAAGGAACTCTTCTCTCAGAGGAAGCAGCGCGAGTTCATCCCGGACAACAAGAAGGACGACAGCTACTGGGACAGACGCAGACGGAACAACGAGGCCGCCAAGCGGTCGCGGGAGAAGAGACGTTTCAACGACATGGTCCTCGAGCAGAGGGTCATGGAGCTGAGCAAGGAGAATCACATACTGAAGGCGCAGCTGGAGGCCATAAGAGATAAGTTTGGTATTTGCGGGGAGTCGGTAATAAGTACCGAGCACGTGCTCGCTGCATTACCGGCGGAGCCGCCGATAGTGAAGCGAGCCAAGTTGCCGCCGTCCGCGGCGCTGCTGTACGCGAGGACACCGAGTCCGGTTCACACGTCGGTAATACATCAGCCGGTTAGCGGCGCCAGGTCACCGAGGTCACCGGCACAGCTCTACGTGCCGGAGACGACGGCCTACCCGGAGACTGAGAGCTTTCAGTACGCCTATCCCCATCCGGCGATGCATTACGAGACTTCCACCTCGGCGCTTAATCTATCTCGCGGACGCAGGGCGCAGTCGCCCTTCGAGTTGTCTTCCGGTTCCGGGGACGAGGGTACGCAGCTGGTAGCCGCGCAGAGTAACAACAACAACAACAACAACAACAGTCTACCGCACAAGCTGAGGCATAAGTCTAGAATTGGGGATAAGGACGCGGCCAGCGCTCTTCTCGCACTTCAGGGTATCAAGCAAGAGCCCGGGCCAAGAGCTTCGCCACCCTGGGACAACGAGGGCTCCAGCGACGAGAGGGACTCTGGCATATCGCTAGGTGCCGAATGGACTGGACCCAGCGTCGTGCCACCGGTCGCTGAAAACGAGAGGGAGGTGAAGTCTAGGCTGGACCGTCTCGCCAGCGAAGTTGCATCCCTTCAGAGTATACTGCGTCTTGGTAAACCTGGTGATCCCGTGGCGCCGGTCGCCTCGGCCGTATCCGCCACGACCACCATAACGAGCACCAGCTCCTCGAATGCTCCTTGAAAGGACAATTCAGCATCCGCGAGGTAGCTGCGCCTCGCTAACGACATTTATCCAAAAGAGCGACTCGGAAATGGCGCCTGGGACGCGGGGAACGACTACGAGACCTCCAGCGCCTGATCTCACGACGGGATGTGCATCGAATTGAATGCTGACGACCTTAGGACGACGAGTATCCGGTGAACGTGAACGCCTATCAGACACCTGGAGGGGGCCACAGATACTGTACCCTAGTTCGGTTACTCTTAGCCGTTATCCATTTTTTTTTTCTTTTCTATTAATTTACTTCTTCTCTTTCACGCTATCCAAAACATATAGTATATCGCTCGAGAGTTCTCCAGTGGGATTTTCGCCTATTAGCATGAAGGAATGATAGAAAACAAAAAAGGAAAACACTCGGCCCACGCAACAACCGGCTAGCTCACCACCGCCAGAATTTAAATTCAGAGAGAGCATATACGATTTCGATCGCGCTCTCGATGACTCTTGATATATTGGTTATATACGCGAATATATTATACATATACATATAACGTACACCCTCGTGTGTAATTAAGGGAGTGATATGGACACGTGATAGTGATTAGATGCTAACCGCCAATACGAATAACAATCGGGATTAAATCCTTTCATAGATAAATCTTGTTGGGACTCTCGATTCTTCTTTTTTAAGCGTTTATATTATTCGATCAGCGAAATCGATGGCGATTCTCGTTCTCCGTATTGTATATAATGAAGTCTATATCTGTAAGTGGAGTACAACGAGAATCGCTTGTCAATTTCCTATTTTACGTATAAATTATCTTCCTACCCTTATTCTCCCGCCCCTCACCCTGTACATACTGTATATCGGTATAGATCGCGGCTACGATCAATAAACAATAATGTTAATGGCTCGATTAACGTGCACGCGGCATCAGTACAGAAAGAGAAAGACAAGCCATCGTTATAAAATATTCAGAAGAATCGGAACTATTGTCCAAGTATTAAGCGAACCCATAGGCGTATTTAACATATACATAGTGCACATAACAAGGAAAAAAATATATATATATATTATCTACAGAAGATATATAACCGTGCAGACAAAAATCGTACACACTTTTAACGTGGACTGTACACCGTAAAACGTACGTACACACGCCATTGTATATAAACATTATATATATATTTTTCAAATTAACGTATTTTTCGATATCCGTTTAGTACCAAGTTCAGTCTATGTCCGCAAGGCGCGCTGCTGTACGTTGATTACTCGCGATGGCTCTTTTACTTGATATCGATATACGGCGAAAAGTAGCATATGGCATGTCGACTGTAACGACGTGATAAAGAAGTAGAATGAAATTTAAAATTAATAAGATCTGTAGCAATTTTAATGATCTATACTGGGTGAAAGAACCATGCGAATAGTGACTTCCTTGCACGGAAAAAAAAAAAAAAAAAAAAAACATTGTTCTAATACACTAGGAGAGACATCAGAGACGTGAAACGAATAAAGGAATTGTAAATGAGGAAGAGATAATTTTGAATTACCATTGCGCATCGTCTTTTGCGCATCGAGTATGGCGCATGCGCAAGGGACGATGTCAAAGTACTGTTTATCAGCGAATGGTCATCCATTACCAATCTGAACGCAGATAAGATTAATAATCGAGAGCCACTAATTGTAAAACGTAATTCTTAGTTATTTATTATATTAACTGTATGTGTCAGGTGATGAGGAACGTGTGGATGATATGTTGATTACGATTATTGGCCACTGGTCAGGACACAAAATGTGAGCGTGATGATTTTTATGATTGGACCTACCATTATAAAGTTGGTACTACTTGCTGTGGTATTTATAATATCGTTTTTCATTTGAAAATTCGAACGGATTGACTTTATGTTGATAAAGGCCAAAATAAAGGAGAAGGAAATTATTTTTGCGGCTGTGCGATTGGCAGAGTGAATGAGAGAGAGAGAGAGAGAGAGGGAGAGACGAATGGTCGAAAGGGCTGAATCGAAAACGAATCTTCTAATTAGCATCTTACTATAACAATTAGCAATGCCGAGTGTTTTAAATCAATTTATTCTCATTAAGAGAGCCTTCGATTAAACGAGAGTACCGAGCCCGCTCTTATTAAGCCCAATGCACAAGACTGTTTATTACTATTTGGCGTTACATTAGCTTAGCGTCCGAGGTGGGATTGCTCTTTTACAATGGAATCTTTTTTTTCACATTTTCTCTCTCTCACGCCCAAAGAAAAAAAAAATAACCAGTCATCTCCCACTCTTTGATTCCTCGTACTTTCTTTGCTTCCCTTCAGTCCCCCTTGTCCTTTATTTTCTTTTTTTCTTACATTGTTCACTCTATATTATTTATACGTCAAGCGGAGGGTCGTGAGAAAGGCAAGGTGATGTAAGAGTGAGGGAAATTGTAAAGTTGCACGCGCACCTTCGGATCTGTCTTGAGTCGAAAATTCGAGCGAGAATCCCGTAGACGCGAAACGATATAGAGATAGTGGTAATCGCTTAGAATAATAATATTATAAAGATCACACAATGAGTAGTGTCAAAAAAAGGAGCGTACGAGTAATTATTATATATGTTTATTTATACGTATAAGCAACGACTGGTGAATAAATGTGCCTAGAAATAGGACCATGTTTACGTGCGTCTTTCTTCGGTATGAATTCTTTTACACTGTAACCATTAAAAGCAAGTATATATCACACACCGCGGCAGAGTCTTGCCGATATATATATATATATATATATATAGAGAGAGAAAGAGAGAGAGAGAGAGAGAAAGTGAGAGGGATGTATATTCACACACCGCGGCAGAGTCTTGCCGATAATACAACACAGGGTTTATTCTCTCTTCAGATTTCTGCGGTACGGAAACAATGGAACCTTGGAGTGTTTTCTCATGTCTGCGTGTGTGTATTATATATATATATATATATATATATATATATATATATATATATATAGAGAGAGAAAGAGAGAGAGAGAGAGAGAAAGTGAGAGGGATGTATATTTTCGTAAATTATGTGTGACGTCACGAATAATATAAACCGTGAGCGATTAAGTACTTATGCGTAGAAGAGCAAAGGTCGGCGACTGTGACAGTAACGGAAACAGTACCTATGACCCACTAAGACCTGTTGACAGGCGGGATGGTATAGTAAAAGGCGTGAACCGATAGTGAGAGAAAGGCGGGAAATATGAAACGAGTAAATAGTTACCTGAAATCTCAGTTTAGTTGGTAGCACGTGGCCGCGCACAGGCTTCACTACGAATGTTCATTGACAGTTAAACAGCGAGTGAATGAGATCTGAACATGAAGCCAGTGCGATGATGATGATCGATGATCATGGCTCTCGCGATCAGTGATCTTGCCGTGCTGCTATTTAAGGAATAGAGTATACCTTACCAGGAGTGCCTAGGAGACGATGTTGAGGAAACTCTGGAGACTTTTCCTCGGATTATTAAATTGAGTGGGATTAATGATTTTCCAAAATTCTTCGTTGTTCTTGTTTTGTTTATGTAAAATGAAAAGTAAATGATAACGGATACTTTCGTTATTTTCTTTTATATATATATATATGTGACTCGAGAGAGAATTCCGGATGCGACGGCCGGAGGAAGGATTCTCTTTTTATTCTTTGTCGTGACTATTGATTGTGTAATAACGTATTTGTCGATAGTCATGCTTCGTGACGGGTCTGGAAATAATTCAGACACTGTATATTGTTGACGGGCGAAAATGTCTGATGAGATAATAACGTGTGAGACTTGTCGAATAGTTCCTAATAATATGCGTTGCTCGAGCAGACGTGAGTCCCGATTCACGGTGCTCGGCTTCCTCTTTCTCAAAGATGATTATTCCAATGCCGAATGCCGATTGTCGATAAGCCGCGCGTTTGTATTTTATCGTTTGTTGCTTTCTCCGGCATCGCGGAGGTTTAAGTATTTAGATTTTAAGGTCACATATCCGCAGCGTTCTAGCGTACTTGTATATGTATATTGAAATAAATATTTTCAATGTTTTTGACAGTAGCCTTTGACCATACAATTGTCTTGCATGAGATTCCCATAAAATTCCTGGTGCCCACTTATCGAATACGTAGGAGGTTACGAAGAGTCTTGTGAAACGGGCGGGTCAGATAGGTAAGTATACTTACGACACATGAAATAGGAAACTACAGATTACGCATTATGGACGTTAGCACGAAAATCGAAGGATTCGATAACGCTGTTGATTAGTGTGTTATACCGTCAGTAGGTTGTTATTATATTTAGAGGTGTGTAGTTCTGAAATTTTACGCTGGGGGCAGCACTTACTGGAGGACTGTGGGGAACCCGTCGTTAACGGATTCAGAACGGTCCAACGGAAGATCCAATCGATGCAGGACCTGACGGTAGCCAATCAGCACGATGCTAGTAGACGATCTCAGCATTATGGCAAGGCGTAGGGGATTCGTGCGTATGCGAAGGCGCGAAACACAGAGTATTCGTCAGCTATTATTAATGTGCACACGTTTGATATCATTTCTTCCTACTTATACTGTGATATTACCTGATAAACAAAGTTTTATACTGTTCTTTTGTACCATCAATTACTCGTATTACAGACGTGACTCCGGATAGGTTTAGACGGAAATGAGTAGGGAGATGCACAACGCTACCGTTTTAGGCAGAGATCAGTAGGGAGTAGCACAACGCTATTACTCAACAACGCGACCAAATAATATGAGATAATCGACGATCGCATGTTTTCAATCGTCAATTGAGATATTCTTAGACATCGCGCGAAAATCGCACTCCAGCGCCACGAGGGTTACCGGTGACCTCCGTCGCTATTAACATGTCAAACATTGTTATACACTGTAACTTATCTATTGCAGATAATATTTCAACATTATATGTATCGCATAATAGAAAATTCATCGTGGCGCCACGAACAATCCCTGTAAAATTGGCGTGGCATTCAACGTGTTAACCAGCGGTGAGTAGCGGAGAACTTCTGCCCGCCAAGCTACGCGTTCGTGTTTACGTTTAACTCGGCTACGACGGGATATGTTTTGTCGACGGAGGCGATGATTACAAAATCCTACTTTCAGAGTCGCCGCTACGATTCAGCGCGATAATTTTAATATCGCCTAAAATCGTAACGTTGTGTGTTTCCCTACTCATCTCTGCCTATTCTCAAGTCATCGACGTATAGTACGGACTGTGGTATAGACCGTATGGACTACGCACAGAGATGAGTACGAACCTACTCATCTCTGCTACGCACATGTAGATCCATTAATTGATACACGGATGCCCGGACACTGCCGCCAAAATGACTTCGGGAATCTTCGGTATCTGCCGAAAGAACTCGTGACCATGGTCTTTCCCGTTATACCGTAAACTTCTTCTCATCGTGTCCTGTGATTGGTGCAGTCCGTTGGATCTCATCATCAATTTGCTTCTCATTTCCCGCCAGAGTTAGGTCACAGTCGTGCACATTTTTCGGCGCCAAAAGGTACACGCTTGTTGCTTAGCACCGGTTTCCGTCTGTCGAGTGTTTTCATCATTAATTTCATTGTGAAAAAGTAAGTAAATCCGAACGTGTTGTCTGTGGAATTTTAATAAAATTATACTGAAACCGAGTACTGTGCTTTATGTGATAATTTACTGCTATGTTAAATGTGGAATTTTTAATATACACTTTCTAACCTAGAACTTTGCTTCTTTCTAAGGATTTCCTAAATTGGCAAGGATGCTGAGCATCGCAACGGCTGCGGTGCACCGCAGCATGCGTCCAAAGACGCCCAGTCCGGGTTCAAGTGCTTCTACCTTAGGTAATATAATAGAAACATTTATTTGCACATAGCACCCACTTATGTTGTATGTAGGTCATGGTCCTCTCCTTTATTTTTTACACATCTTAAAAATTTTCTTATTCCAGTATTATTGTAATATGGAATTGTTTATAACGTTTGTTATGCTAAAATTAACTTTTCGATGTTCATAATGACAGTTCAAATGAAACGATAATGCATTGTAGTAAAGACGATATATGTTCTAAAATAATTAATATATATATTGTATGCGTACAATTGTACAAACATTCTAATTGTATTGCGTTGTGATACTCTGATCAAGTTTATAGTTTATTTAAATGTTGAATAAAGTTTACTTTTATAATCTTGATATACTGTGTATTGACAAATTTTCACAGCAACAGTTGGTGCAAATCATCCATGGTCAACGGAGCATACACCATCACCAAAAAGGAGACGTATGCGTCAAGGTTCATGTAGTGCGCGAAAAAAGATAATTACAAGCCCGGTGGAAGAAGTTCCAATTAATTTTGAGTTTGATAATCCTGAGATTACTTTGACTCTTGTCAGGAAAAGTTCCTTTGATCAGTTTGACAACAAACAACATAATGAAACAGTGAACAACAAACGTTATAAGACTAAAAGCACCAGTAGCGAACCTGGAGAATCTTTGGAGCTTTCAGAACGGATAGATTGTGGAGATAGAACAACGCAAGGAAAAAGATTTAAATCTAATTCCAAATCCGTTGTAATATCGTTTCTCAATTCGAGTGAGATCAGTATAAAACCAGTAAACAAGCAAATCAGTGTAACATCCAATGAGAATGTATCGGCTCCAGAGTCATCGGAAGCCTGCAATGTTTTACAGCAGAGCAAGACAAAGACAAGTATTCTTCTCTCGAGCAAGACGGCTTTATCAGAAGAGTGTAATTCTACAAAACCTAAGGAACTTTCTGAACCTCATGAAAGTGACCCAATGAATAAGGATAATGTATCAAATCAAGAGAACTGTGTTAGCATACCTGTGACTGCTGTTTCTAAATCATCAGAGAGTACTCAGAGCACAGAGAAACCTAAAGAGCGAGAAAGTCTCACAACGAAACTCGCTAGGGCTGTAAATATCCTTAAGGCATTTGAGAAACGCTCAGTGGAAGTAGATAGCGCCCGGGAAGTACCTGCAGAGGAGTTTGAATACGTTCCCAAGGTATTTGAAAATGAGTTCTCCGAGGAAATTGAGCAGCATCCTTGGTCCATGTCAGAGTCGGAAAATAAAGAGGAAAACTGGGATCAAAACGACGACGTAGTTTTACCTAAACCTTGCGGAAGTGGTTTTGTCTCTGATGACCTTTTTCTACTCACCGATAGCGACCTGGATATTCCTTATTATATGGTGGGCTTCCCTAATCCACCAGGTGAAAATCGCTGCTGGTTAAATGCCACGTTACACGCTCTGTTTGCTCTGCCACTGTTGGAGAATATGAAAAACATTAATTTAGATGATAGCTCGCAATTAATCAAAACGCTAATAGCAATGCAAATATTCTGGAAGAAAGGAACATCGGAAAAGCAGAAGACATACCAGACTGTAAAGATGTTCAAGGAGGAACTGAGTATTCTTGACGAATCTTATCCATCTGAACGCCAGCAGGACGTCTCTGAATTCCTTATGATCTTTCTAAATTATATAAGAAGTGACATAGATAAGTTGTTGGTAGCAGATGCTGTAATGTCCGAGACAGAAAATATTCCGGAGAACCGTCAGGATTCACGTAGAATACCAAAAACTCCTCACACTCCAGGAAAACGTCAGCCTCTGGCGGATATCTCTTGTAACAGTGGTAAAAGGAGTTGCGCTGAAGGTACTACAAAACCCAGGAAGTTGACCTATGGTGTACAGGATCTTCTAAGTCCAAAGAGTACACGACTATCTAATCCTACTGATCCATCTTATAAAGTTCACACACCACCACATTCCTCAAGTACCACCACTGAGATGATTATCTCCAAGAACCCCATCGATGAATACTTTCTTCTGCACATGATGGAGAATTACATGTGTAAAGGTTGCCTGAAGCATCGTCAGAAGAAGGTGGACAATCTTATGCTGTACGTAGATCTTCCTTCAGAGACAGAAGGACCAGCTGTCAGTCTAGAAGATGCTATTAAAAAATCCCTGGCCCCGGAAGACAGAAATTTAACTTGTGGAACGTGTAAGTTTGACGTACACACTATGAGGACGACTTTTAGGAGATGGCCCAGGGTTTTGACAGTCCAGGTCAATCGATATGGCATGACCGATGGACTCTTCAGCAAAATCAGTACAGCTGTCACAATTCCTGAGAGTCTTGTACTGGATAACAATCTTGTGTAAGTATCTCAAGAGCACACTCCAGTTATCAATGGATAATAATAAATTTGTTACTGTTCGTCTAGATGAGGTACTTGACGTTGCTGTTTTATGTTACAGCGATAGTGTCTCCGTAGCAGCCTGTAAGTATGAACCCACCTGTATAATCGCCCACGTAGGGAGCACAATGGACTGTGGGCATTATACAAGCTACGTAAATCACAATTCCCAATGGTTTCATTACAACGACATGAATGTAACACCAATGACCTCTTCGGAAGCCCTTGGAGCAGCAGATACTACAGCATACCTGGTATTCTTTGTAGCTGCACAGATACCAGAAGTATCAGATTCCAGCTAGTCCAGAATTCCCAGGAAAATATCGAAGACTTACATGTTAAAGAAAGGAAACACTTTACCCAGTGGACTACACCCTGGACGAGTCTGGAGGAAATGTAAAATAAACAAGTACCTTCTCTACAGGACTGCGTAAAGGATGTTTTCTAGTCGCGAACAAATCGTGCAATCGAGGCCTTCCGTTATAAAAGGTGCCAAAGGAAGCAATAGTCCTCGAGGATGACGATGACGAAGACGACGATCCTCAAATATACTACACATAATACGCGACCCTAGACCATATTCTGTACTTCAGTCTTGTCAGTTATACTCAAGGAACTACGAAAATAACATAAAATGTGGATTAACTCGCGATCTGCCATCAGTACAAAATCCAAACGAAAATATTCCAAACCGGTAAAAATCTATTGTCTCAAGACAACGGAGAACCACGAATCACTCCAAGAACTACTGAAAGTTCACCCTGGACCGCCTTTACATTATTGTAAATAAATGAAACGTGAAAATTCACGTCGCGAATTAAAAGCTATATTATTTTGCTTCAAATAATAAGCAACGGAACAATCGTATAAGGTAATAACAGTAGCTAATTATGCGTAAGAATTTGTAAAGTGTTTCATGACTTTTCTTATCAGGTTTATATCTAATATAGATTATTACTATTATTATTGTCTATAGATATAATTCACTCTAGACTGCCCCTATCGTCACTTTTATTCTAATTGATTTCGGCAAGGATGAGCACTATGTAATTTAATTATTAAGATTCCACAGTGGCATCCGATACAAAGCAACATATCCAAAGCATTTAAAGCATAGTCCCGCTAAATATATAAATATATATATATATATATATACATTTAATTAATCACATTTAAAAGATCGTACATAGCGTCACGGTCTTTCTTTAATTTAATTTCTTAGGTACCCGCGATTCCATCTGACTGTCGGAAACCCAAATGTACCACCACTAAAATCTAACTTCCCGAATGGTTATTCTCTTGAAATATCGATGTATCGAAATTACAATAATTAAATATATATAATCAGAGCTATGCACCGGCATAACAGAATATTGTATTTTCCATGCACCGACATTTCAGGAGAATAACTATTCACGAAATTTTATTTCAGTAATTTGATACATTCGAGTTTCTGACACTCGGTGAAATCACTGGTACCAAATTTCATATGTCTGTACTTGATTCTCACATAATATCACAGGGGCACGTATCCAAATGAATTCAATGTACTTCATCTAGATCCGTGCTCTCTTCTACGCGTAATAAGTCTACTTCAATTTCAAATATCAGTACCATATCTTAGAATATACCCTGATCGATGATACCATGCACTATTATTCGTCCCTTAGTAATAAATAAGAATAAACCTTGTAAGCTTCTCGGCAGAAACATCAGCCAGTATGCGCGGTACGATTGAAGTGTCGGAAAAGGAAAAAGTTAAGCAATGAAACAATAAAAAATACACAGTGCCTTGTCCAAAGTATTTCTATAAGAAATGGAGCAATGTCTTTTGTGTTCTACTACTATATAACATGTAACATATGTTTTGTACGTCAAATAAAATAAATGCAGGCACGGTACACAATTTTTGGAAACGAGGTCGTGTTGATATTCAAGCAAACCCGCCCTTCTCTCTCTTTCTGTCTTTTAAAATTTCAACTGTTATAAAGATTACTTTTAAAAATAACACTTTCCAGTTAGCTAGACAAATTTCAAAGATACTGACTGTGTCCTGTGTGCTTGATAATCCAGAACTGAATGCTCGAGTACGAAGGACTAGGTAAACGTGGTTTCTTAATGGCTGCCAACAGAATAGATTTCCATTGGGTAGATGACAGGCAAGGTAACAAAAATAACAATAGTACAGAAGACAGTGCAAATGACGATAAGGCCGAAGACCTGAAAAAGAATTAAATAATAATAAATGCATAGAGAATAGTGTTTTGAAAATTTTATTAATCCACTTATTATCTGGATGCCTCGAAAGTGGCGCGAACAGTAATTTGAATGCGTTTGCCGAATATTTACGTATCGCGTACCGCTCTTTTTGCTCCATTAATTAACAAAGTATCGATTCAGCAGGCGTGTCTCGCACGTTCGATTAAATAAATCTAAATAAATTGTTATTAATCGAGTTATTATTATTTCTCATCAACTTCTTTTCTTTCCCCTTTCATTTGTACAGCTTTTTCACTCTCGGTCAACCGTCGTCATTCGCAATTCGCTCCTTCCTCATTCTCCTTACAAGCTTCCCTTGCAAAGTATCCATCGTCATTCTAATCGTCATGAAATCACCCATCTGCAGTCGCACACCTTAAAAAGCCCATGCACGCCCACGCATTCTTCTCTGCTACATCGTAATTACATATAACGTATTTTTTTTGCATCAACTCTTCGACTTTGAATAAATTTGGTTCTTTTCGCATTACATATATCACTTTGTTCGTCCGGTAATATAATATAGTCGAATGCCGATATTCAATATTCATAATAAAAAACATGCGGAGGCACAAAAGGCACGGGTCTTACGTCACAAGGAATCCGATCGCGCGTCGCCGTTTCTGTCCTTCGTCGTCTTTGTCGTCATAGTCCAACGCGTCATCCTGAACGTCTCGTACGAAGTCCCGCGGAACGGCAAGTTTCGCGTAATACTTTTCGAACTGGTGATTACGAACAAAAACCCTAAGAGAAAGAAAGGTCAACGAAATTTTCTTTTCCTTCGTCATCGAGAACCCAAAGTGTATGTCCCAGCTATATGTAAAAGAAGTCTTCTGCGAGAGTATCTTGTCTAACGGAAACGTACAGCTCCGTCCGTTCACTGTGAGGAATAGTCAGAGTCGGAGCCCACCTGATGCACTGCGGCACACGTGGACATGGGAATACGTTCGTCGTGTGGAGTGAAAAATTAACTAAATTCTCTTCAGCTTTCCTAAACATATTATTCAATCTCATCGGGGTTCCTAGATGCGAAGCACGCTTAGAGCTTCTTTGGGGAGGGGGCGAGCTCGAGATTGGCGAGTAAGTTTCGTATCTATTTTTCAGTCTTTCGTGGAGTGACAGCGATGACGTTATTCGTTATAGTTTTTCCTCTTTCTCTTTTTCCCTCGTACAGACACACTCGCGCGCATTCTTCTCGGAGAAGGTTCTGGTCGTTCTTAAACGAAACTGGCTAAGAATTATTCTCTTCTCTGTACTTTCGTAAAAAAAAAGGAAAGTAGTATTCGTCATTTACTCTACGACCTGTCATTGTGGGATGATTTAAAGAATGAAAGCAGAAAGTTGAAACTATATATATGTATATAAAAATCGTTCGGATAAACAATGGGAGAGAAAGAATAATCCCAGTTAATATTTGACATCTGTCACACAGTACAATTAACTGTGCGTACAATGACAGTACACTGCTGCCTGTAATATTATTAATAATTATCAATAAATCAATAATGCATTGTTAGCATCCACGATCATTTGATACGTCGCAGAGTTTATTATTAAATTTTTTTGAAAAAGGAACAGAAAAACTATGATCTGTCGACCATCGGTCGCGATGTCAATGAAATAAAAGAAAAACAAACAAAAAAAATAATTAATAACGAGTCGATTTCTTGGCGAGTATGAAAAAATATTTATTCGGCTAGCACTGTGTATGGGCATTGCTCGAGATTTCGCCTATTGTTCCAAGTATCCTGGTGAGAAGGAGCATCCCCAGGAGATCCTTGACCTCGGCGAATTGACACAGCAATTACTTCGGACAATGGGTAAAGAATGACACCAGGAGTGAATGATACCGTCAAAAATTAGACAACCCTCCTGATGACCGTAAGCCGGAATATTAATTTCATAATGAAGAAGACACATGATTGAGATCGAATAATAAAAAGGAAAAATTAAAGATAAATAATCGAATCAGAATGGTACGGAGGTTAAAGATAAAACAAAAGAAAACCTGGATTCTGACACTAAACACGACAATGTACTGTTGTAGTTCTGTACTGATTATAAAGATAATGAAAGAAACAATTGAAGAAGAAAGATACGTCTTTGGTTATCGCCAATTACGCTATTGTCCGAAGTCTTAATTAATAATTCATAAATCTCTCGGTATCTCTCTCTTTCTCAATTCACAAATTTATCTTGGACACTAATGCTTCTTGCTATAACAATTGCGCTCCCACGTTCAATCTACATTAACATTGAAATAATTGTTTGTCGCTTTAATTGTTACTCCACACCAGTCTTCTCTTCCCTCTTCTCCTTTCTATTTCGCTCGCCCATGCTTCCTCCGTGTGTATGGTTTCCCTTCTGTATCTTGACTGGCTTGCTTACTTCTTATTCTATCTCTTTGTTTACATCGCCCTTAACTTAAAAACGCCCGCGGACAATCATTCGCTAATGACTCCACGAAACTCTACTTAGCAGTTCTTATTCTACGTACACGGTTCAAGAAAATGGTGACACTAATGTTAATCGTTGCCGCGAATGGGAAAAATAAGAGTTGATAATGTACAAAGGGGGGTGAAGGAAGAGGGGATGACGATATAAACTTGGAGGCAGAATAGAACGAGGCAAACGAATCGTGGTGGATCGCTTAATTCGGACAACAAAGATACACATCCAGAGTGTCAAGATGCTGAGGACACAACGCGGGACCTTATACTGAGATATAGTGAGGATATGCGCTTTAGAAATCAAAGTAACAAATGAGGATAAAAGACAATTTGGAAAGAAAAGAAAGAACAAAACGAAAATACGGGGAGATCCCCATTTTTGGAGAAAAAAAAATCATTGAAATCCGACCAATGATACCGCGACTTTGAGTTTCGAAGATAAAACCAAAACAAAAAAGAAGAAAGATGAAAAAAAGCAAGATCTCAAAAGCGATCCGCAGATCTGACTTGCTCGAATAATATTCAATATAGACACAACTGAATAATCAATGATATTATAATATAATAATTAATAATTAATTAATAATAATGACAGCAATAACCAATGATCGATAAATTGTAATAGAAATCGTTTTAATCGATGGAACCGAGGATCAATCGGTCCATCGATCCGAGTGACTTGTCTCTTCTTTCTCACAATTCATTCACTTTCTCTCTCTCTCTCTCTCTCTTACACGCACATACACGCACACAGGTACACACACAACACACGCACTTTCTCTCCTGGGATACATATAGAACAACGCACAGGCAACTTGCTGGAACATTCATTCTCACTGTTCGGTATTTGACTGTTCTAATCCGATTATAAGGAGCTAACTTGTTAAGGGTCGTTGGCGTATCCAGGGCCAGTGAACGCCCGTAAACGCTGATGATGTCGATGGTGTCTGGTTGTTTGGTGATAATATGTGTCGATGAGAATGGTGGGATAATAAAGAATAATAATTACTAATCAATTATAACGTAAGGCAATATGTGGAGGATCTGGCCATTATAGCTGGGTCTGGCCAGCATCTCGTGCCACTCCCGAAATTCAACATCGCTACGACCGTCGTTACTCCTGTAGCCGGCGTCCAGGTGGTTGCTCGAGTCCTGAAGGAGAACATCAGCAGAAGAACTTCCAGGTTTACTGCTAATATCACTATTAGTTGCGTCGCTGGTAGTATCGCTGTTTGTTGTTGATGTTATGTTGTTGCTGATAGTTGAGGTTAGCGAGGAGAGTTTTGGTTGGAAGTTACCATTAAGGCCCTCTATACATTTCGTGTGTAACCTCTCGAGATCCTCGGTGGTAACCTCTCGAGGAGGATGATCCTCCTCCTCGCGAACCTCCTCTTCTTCCCAGTCCGTCCAATCTATAGAATTCGGATCCAAAGGCGGTAGCTTCGCAAGTATCTCCTCTACCGTGAGGTCCTGCCTCGTTCTCGAAGGACTCTTCTCCTTGCCTTTGCGTTCCTCGGTGTTGTCTTCCGGGCCCTCATTCTCTCTGCGATACCTCGAGGAAGGCGTGGGAGTGTCATGACCATTGTCATTGGCCTTACGACGAGAATCCCTTCTGCTTGACTCCGTTGCTCTCTGCGTCGCTCTAAGGTATTTGGACACCTGGTGCTCGCTGCTACCCCTCAAGACATCCTCCATACTTGGGGGTTCTTTGCTGCTTTGACTAGGTGACGTGCCACCCTCGATGCCCAAGCTTGAAGCGTTATTCGTCGAGCCTCTTGCCTGCAGATCTGCCAAGAGTTCCTGGGTAGTTTTCAGCTTAGGATTTCTCGAGATACTCGCAAGCTTCTCTTTGACGCGATCTTCTACGTGGGGCTGTTTCTTCATGGATTTACTGCCCTTCTTGCGGCCGCGTTTCTTCGGACCTGAGATCCCGTCACCCTCGTCCAGGGTGTTATCGACCGACTGCTCGGAGATTCTTTCCTTGAGCGCCGGGTTACTAGGCACTTGCGAGGTTATGCTACTACTCATTCCCGTTACCGAAACATTCTCGCCGTTCAGACGTTGTCTCTTCGCCATCGGCTCACCCTGTCCCAGCATCAGGCTTGCCGCGGTAAGTACATTCTCAGTATTTTCTTTTCGTAGACGCTTGTTAGAACTGTGGGTCCTTGGCACCGCATCGGCCAGATGATTATCCCGCGCAGATGCTACCTTTGGCGAGTCACCAGGACTCAACCTGTGGTTACTACCTGCGGTGACTGGTTTGCATGGCGTTTGCTGAGAGTTCGGGGATCGCGAGCGTTCGCTGTGTAGTGAGAGGGCCGGACTCAAAACCTAGACACAGAATATTAACCATGAGTCCTCTAACATAGTATCTAGCCACTATCGATAAAAGACGTTCTTATATAATGGATTACAACTTGCTCTTCCCATTTCTCTAACACTGCTCCCAACTCACCCTTAAAGGTGTGGCATCTCTCGACAGCGGACTTTGGGGCTTGAGTCCTCGTAATGCTGGACTCTGTGGCTTTAGGCTTCTCAGGGCAGGGCTATGAGGTTTCGCACCATTGAGGGCTGGCGGAGCCGGGTCCGCCGGCGTCGGTTGCGGCGTGGTGTGTGCCGATGGCAACACCATGTCTCGCCATCGACGAACCAGGTCCTTTGCACGTTTCGCCAAAGCATCGTTGCTAGTTTTACGTCGGAGCTCATTGATGTACTTGCCAAGCCTTGTGATCTACAGAGAGTATTACCAGGTCAAACATAAAATTTCCAACTCTTCCTTCTGCGAGACGCTACACGAATAGTGGATGGGCGAAATATTGTTGTTCCATCCCATAAAGAAGTATTAATGCTTTTCAAATATGTATAATAAGTGTAATATTTCGTCTCCTGATTCTTACCTCAAGCACCTCTTTGGTGATCGCCGTCTTCTCCAGGGCCGTGATGACATCCACAACAGCTCCCATGTCGACAACCTGGAAAGATAATATGTTATATTGCTTACTCAGAAATTTGTACAGAAACATAACTACTCTTTGGTGCATTTGGAATAGTTTTAAGGGAACATGATAACTTATTAGATTTGTTTTCCTTATCAGGTGGCGATGATTTACATATTATGGATATTATCAATAATATAGAGAAATAATATAAATTGAGGTTTAACTTATTCCTTTCTTCAGGGAATATCGTTAGTAATACAATATTGGTGTTTAGGGTATAGCTATTTCATCATGCAATGCTGTAACAATTGAAGTGGATGGTCAAAGGAATTTCTAGCAATTTCGATACAGATATGAGAGATTGTGGATAAATTAGATTGGCATATGTTGCTTGGCTTATAAAATGAACATTCGGAATATGAAGGAAGGACAGAATATTGCAAAATATGTGTTAAACGTTTCCTAATACTAATTGGGACCAGTAACCTACTTTATTATATGTGTTGATCAGACCACACTAAGATCCTTCAGTTGATACATTAATGATATTACAAAAACCTTGGATAAGTTCAGGAATTTTTGAAAAACAATCTTCAGGATGATGATATAGAGTCCACCAGGCAGAAGTATTTGAAGAAAAAGTATTATTATATTGTATAAATGCAATTTTATTGTATCTTCAAACAATGTTCAGTTATCCATAGGAATATCTGAAAATACAAAATCTTTTACAAAGAAAGGTAGTGTGCACTTCCAAATGCCTATTGAAGAATGGAATTGGCTTCATCATAAAAAGGATAAGAACAAAGTTAATCATCATCCACAGCTTTCCAAACCTTGTGGTAACATAATATTACTGATACAAAAACAGCATAAGATCCAGAGAATTCCATCAAATCCCTATATATAAGATCAAGACCACAAGAGTGTCCTTTAACAGTCAAGAAGTTTGAGGTTATAACCAAGGTAATACTGCGATCCTTGTCACTCGCAAGCCCAATCTGTAACACTACCATACAACACCTAACATCCTAAACCGGTAAACAAGACCAATCCTAGAATTATTACGAATCTTAAGAACAATCCACAGTCTGAATAATCCTCTATCTCTGCTACGTAACCTGCCATAAGGGTAAGAAAATATATATTACAAAGTAAAACTGCCTAAATGGTAACACCACCAAGGCCATCGCAGATAGCACAATTTCATAAAGCATAAAAATATGAAAATGTTAAGAACCACCCTGTGATACTGTTACAGAACTCAATACAGCATCACCAGGAACATCTGCACCCTGATCACACTAGTCGAGAAATACGAAACGTCCCTGCTCGAATCACCATGAACGGGTCCATGAAGATATCCAGATTTAAAAAAGTATCTCCGTCAGAAGCACTGTATAACGAAGTGAACGGACGAGTAAAATTCAGTGATCGGATGAGTAACGAGAGGAAGAGTCGCGTTGTGCGAGTGGCGCGCGCGGGGCCTGGCGATCGGCGCGTACTAAGGTGTATCGCCCGGCTACTTACATTGTACTCCTTGTCAAGGGATTTCAACAATCTTTCGGTGAGCTCGGTGCAGTATCTCTGCATCGGGGGTGCTCGGGTGCACGGAGCTCGCGCTTAGGGGAGCTTAGGTTAAGCGGACAGATCGGCTCCACGCACACGAGTGGTCGCGAATGCGAGAGAGCACGGGGGGCCTGCAATGGCGGACGACTGAACTCTGCGCTGTCCGTTCGCATGTCCTCCCTGCCTCCGGAGTGCCTCCTAGCCGATGCCCGAGCATCGTCCCCGGCCCCACGTCGCCCCATAGAGGCCGACGCGCGCTACTAGCACCACTCGCGGCGGCCGAATCCCTTGGCCACGCCTCCCTTACCCCTCCTCCACCCGAGATACCCGCAGTTCGGCTATTTCCGACGTACTTCGTTCATGTCCGTAAACGTTCGGTCGATTCCGCTTACGACGTCAGCTAAAATCTTACATCCCCTCTTACTATTTAACTACAAAAATCCCCACCACTTTGAACACGAACGAGAGACACTCAGCGAGCGACGCGCCGCAACGACGGACGCGTTTGATTTACGTTTAGGATGTATCTTGTTTTTCAAGATACTTTATCTTTCAGATTATCTACCAACGATTAACGAGTGGTTACACTGCTTTTTTTCCCTTACATTACTACTTATTCCCTCTTGATTTGCGTATACAGGAACGTGGAGACTCGATGTTTTTGGATGGCGGCTGGTGAGCATTTGGGGGCAAGGTCACGGGTTCTCGAAAGAGGTGAAGTTGACCAGGTTTTTACGGTTAGGTAAGACTGTCGGGTGTATTCTGAATTACACGGGTATTTAAAGATCTTGTGCGTCGTCGAATTACTAGACGACTGTTAAATCGATCGAGGACAGAGGTTCATGTATTTGGGTTTTCTTGCAATAAAGTACCCGAATATTTATCCTAGCGATTCAGCCTCGTGACCTCTTATTAATAAAGGTCGGATATAAAAAAAAAGGTCTACGGTCCTGCAGAATGACTAATCCAGAATGCATGGATTTTTGCAGAACAATGAAAGAGGATACTGAAAGATACGAATTTTTATAATGGAAAATGTATGTAACGGTAGATATGACAAAAGAAAATACTATTGCGTTTTTTGTCGAAAAAGAGAGGGTTACGATAAGTAAATAAAATTGAGGTTAAACTATAGATAATATAGAAGATAATTCGAGAATGAAAAGCCCCACCGGATTTGGTCGCCCATCTTTGTGTCCTTCCAAAATGGGTAAACGCAGCCACAAATTGCACCACAGAATACCAGCACAATATCAAGAGCACTCGTTCACTTTACATGGCTCAATGCACTTGTCACAAATTCTCTACCGCGATGAAAAATTGGTCAAACTTTCGAAAAATGATGATTTTCCGAGAAATACCTTGTGAAAAATCTAGATGCGCCATGACGTCACGAGCTGTCGTGGCACGTTCCAAAATGGCGGCAATGCCGCTGCACAGCGAGCACATTACTGGAAATGGTCGTTGTTATTGGGGTTCTTTCACACGAATAAAGCTGTCCTCTGGGCGATGTGATCGTTGATGCACCTCCGGGCGCGATACTGTCACGTTCCTGGATCAGGCGGTACGATTTTCAGAGACTAGAGGTGGGTGAGGCGCAATGCGTCGAGGGGTTACGCCGTGGCGCCCAGTTGAGGTTAAGGCGAAAAAATCAATAGTATCTTAGAATTACGCAATAGGCTGGATATCGGTCACTGGACACTGGATTGTCGTTGTACGATGTTAAGAAATACTTTACGATTCATGACAGTCGCGATATGTATATGAAATACTTCGTAGACTTTTTGAGAAACGACCGGGCAATTACGAAATTTTCGCGAAATTTCACTTGATGTCCACTGACGTCACGCGTCAAAGGAAAGATGGCGTCGCGTATAGCTGCGGCTGCCACTGTTCGTGCTGTCAAGGGTCGGAAAATACTGCCTACGAGAGCTGCGCTTGTTCTCGTAAGTAATTTTATTAGATTTTTTTTATACTGAGAATTGTGGGATGGATATTCTAAGGGATGAACATTATTGTCCTTTTGCGAATTATTTAAAGTCATCTTCGAGTGTCATAACCTAAATTGTTTTGAGTATTCTATTTTTAATTATCACTTAGAACTTTTTTTTCAGACACCGAATGCTGTGAAAAAGATCAAGGAGATACTCAAGGACAAAACCGAATTCGTGAGTTTTATATATGCTCTATATATGATATCAAGTGGAGATATTATTCTCATCTTTGTTTTTCTTATTGTCTTCTTTGACAGATTGGATTGAAAGTTGGTGTCAGACAGAGAGGATGTAATGGATTAAGTTATACCTTGGATTACGCCACAGAGAAGAGCAAATTGGATGAGGAGGTCATTCAGGATGGCGTGCGTGTTATAATAGATAGAAAAGCTCAGCTATCTTTGCTTGGAACAGAAATGGATTATATCGAGGACAAGCTCAGCGCAGAGTTTGTCTTTATTAATCCTAATATTAAAGGGACGTGTGGTTGTGGTGAAAGTTTCTCAGTTTAGTATATGTAGCATTTTTTTTTAGTAAAACTTGGTCAAATCTCTTAGTCAGCTATTGCTATTGAATTTTGATGTATTCTTATATATATAAATACATGTCACCCACCGACAAGAGGATGATCTTAGCTAGCGTGGTTTTATATTTGTAGTAAAGGAACTAAATGCTACATAGGAATGTTATATTTAAAAACAGGACTTTCCTAATAAAAGCTGTCTGGGTGTATCTCAGCAAGCATGGTAATCCTGTTGCAATATAATTAGATCAATGCATTCACATAATCTGTAAATATGTAGTGCTATTATTTGTGGGTGACTACTTCCCATGATCACATTATGAAATATAGAAAATCACAATGACATAATTGTTCAGAAGTAAGTTGTATAAATTGTAGGTACGAAGTTACAGTACTTTTCTGTATAATACTTTTTTTGATTTGAATAAAAATATCTATTTATTTTGTATTTTTCTAGTAATGTCTACTTCCTTAGTTACATCATCTGATACTCAAATGCTTGCTACTTCTTTTTAGTAAATTTCTGTTTTATTATATGCACAGTCTTCGTTATTGTTACAAAATTATGAAAATATAGGAACTAATTAATAGGGTCTTTATAGTACTTACGAAGATGAAAATGTATATCTTTAGGATGTCTCCTGGAATCTATCTATAACAATTTCGGTTGCTGCTTAAGTGTAGAGATATCCAAAATTTTACTAGGATAACTAGTTCTAGGGGTTTGAGTTAGTGGTGGATATCTTCTAGGCTTTGGACTCCTGGATGGTGTATTATACCGAGGTTCCTGTGGAACCTCTACGTTTTCTTTCCCTGTATCTGAAAAATGATCATGGTTTTGTGAGTCTCAAATTATGTTATTTGTATTTATATTTCTTACCACCATTTTTTCCTTGAAGAAGTTGATATCGTTCCAGGTATCTCATTGTAGCAAAAGACATATTGGTACCCTGAACATTACTAAGTAACAGATGTTTTAGTGTACCAGGTGCTTGCTTTTGCAGAGCCAGGTCAGCTAATTGTTCATCACTAAGATACTTTAGAGCCAGTGCCTTCATCTGCATACTTGTATCTGTTTCTGAAATTGCGCTAGTTGCTTGCGCGAGATTGGCACGGTAGTCCAGTCGAGGATAATAAGAAGAGTCAAAAGTCACCCTGAAAAATTTGGAAATATTTTCATTACTTACATATTGTAGGGAAGTTTGGAATAGGTTACACAATAGCATTATTTTACTTTTTATTTTCTGGCACTTCCTGCAAATCAGAATTGTCCACAAAGCTTATTCCAAGTTTTCGAAGCTGCTCCATGGTTGCTACCTTTATGCTATCCATTAGTACTTTATTCTCTTCTGTTCTTTTAGATTTCTTAGATTCTTTCTGATCAGGAATCTCTGCTACAGGAGAATTTTGCAGTATCTGATTCACTTGACCCAGGACATTATTGTAGAAGGTCCACCCGACTTTAGGAGTTCGTTTAGGCTCCTTTTCGCTTTCCTCGTCGCTGGAATATTCTTGCATTTCGACGTGAATACTGGGTTCTGGACTCGGCGGAGGTCTTTCTCGAACCTCTAATTCTCCACTCGATAATACTAAACTCTCTTCACCAGGAATTTTTTTCTTCTCATTCTCTACAGGTGCGACGTGATTGACTGTCAAAGGAGATCTGCTCTGAAATTGTGGATTTTGTGTAATTCTATCATGTTCAGGTATAACATTTTCCCTAGAAGGTTCTGAGGGATGATTGTATGGACTTTGATTTCTGGAGTCGTTTCTAAAATCTTTGCCAGGTTCAGGACTCTTCCCTAGGATCTCACGTCTCTTTAACTCTTCCTTGAGACCATGTAAAGCTCTTTGAGATTGATTTTCCAAATGATGCTGCTTTTCCACTTCTCTTCTATATGCATCATTTCCTCGTAAAAAATCTTGTCTGATACTATCCAATTGATTATGCTTTTCCGGGGAGTCGTCTGTGGATGGTGTGATATGAAAATTGCTACTAGGTTGTCGACTAGAAGATAAATGACTCTCAGAGTCCTCAATGATGTTCTCCAGAGGCGCATTGCTTCTGGAGAAATTATTCTGGCTCTTCCTAAGGACTTCAGCTGTACTACTTGATGACTTACGAAGAATATCATTTGATAAGTTTCCATTGGGTCGATAAGCGTCGTGCTCGATTTGCTCAAAAGGGCTATTTTGTACAGTAAACTCAAAACTGGTCATCACACCGATAGACACCTTCTGTTCCAGAATGGCATTCCTGGGGTCTTGACCATTCTTCGCAGCATCATCGCCATCTAAAGGTGTGCTCTCAATTTCCTGTATTTTTGATGTGCTTTGAACCAAGTTTCTCTCAATGGTGCGCGAAGGTCTCTCTCGCTCCTTAGGGCTCTGAATGGCATTAGAAGAGTTATTCACAGCAACAGCTTCGTCATAGGAACGAACGCACACCTGGGAGCTTTGACGAGAACTCTCATGCAAACAGGAACACTTGCCACGTTCCTTCATGTTCTTCTCTTGGATTTTGAGTAATCGTTCCACCTGGGACTGCAGTGACTTTATTTGTTCACTTTGATTGTTCACCAATTGAAGAAGGTTCTTCACGGTATCTTCATTTTCAGGCTTTGGCGACTGGTATCCTGGTGGATAAGGTATTGGAAAAGGATAAAGATGCTCAGGATCAAAATAGGGAGGATATGCATGTCTAGCATAAATTCCATTTTGGTACTCATGTCCAGAAATCTTAGGACTACAACTGCCTTGCTGGCTAGGTCTGTATGGAGTATGTGGGATAGAATGAAAACTGGATGGATTCTCACTTCTAGGATATTTCTGTCTATATGAATCACCATAAGAATTACGATTTGAATGCCTGGGGACACTGTGATAATGATGTCTGTCATAAGGATCTTCAGATCGTTTTATAGTTTGTTGTAAGCTTCTAGCATCTGTAGGAGTTCCCAAAACACCATGAACTTCATACTGATAAGGCTGGTAACCAGTGTCTGGACAAGGGTTACTTGAAAAACCCTTCTGTCTCTGATGAACAATCGGTGATATTTTTTTGACTTCTTGTATTGTATGTAAATCTCCAGACTTGTTAAAATTCTGCGCAGCAGCAATTCTGCTGCTAAGGCTAGGATCAGAGTGACTATGCTTTAAAGATTCATTAGTCAGAACTGTTTTGTGTAAGTGATTTGCTTGGCTTTGGCTCCGACTATGCTCTATTCTTCCCGAATTATATGTATCAGTATACTTTTTCTGTTTCCAAGCAGCATAAGATTCATATTTATCTATATTTGGCGATCGTGGTGTGTCACTTTCAGAAAGGGTGAATGCATTTTCAGCAGGTTTTTCAAAGACAAGAGATACCTCTGGTACTGATGGGGTGGTTACACACTGTGAAGCACCAACTAATTAATATCATTTTAGACAAAAATAAAATGAATAAATATAATATTTTACTCACGTCAAACCTAGGAGCAGGTCTAGGAGTAATTCTGGGCTCAAATTCATCAGAAACATTACAAATATCGAAATTCATACTGTGGCAAATCGTAAAAGGTTAATTAAACTCGTTCTTTAACCCAAGGTATACGATGCCAATAGGAAATATTAATAAAAGAGCTAATGAATCATTTATGAACAATCTCGAATAATAAATAGTTTAAGAATAACAAAAAATAAACCGAAAAAGCCAGCGACGATATTGACAGTTGTTCCCGCAACTGAAACAATGGTTGAATTTAAAAAAAAACCATAAGAGCCAATAGCGTCGTAGCATCAAGAGAATTAACCAATGGCGCGTAAATACCGCGAAAAACCCTGTCGTCGTCAAAACTACGAATTCATCGATCAGTGACTGCGCGCCTTGCGAACTGCGAGGTATCCTTTTCGAATTTTCCACCATTTTCCAGGATTTCGCACGCGAGGTGTAGCACGCCCACCACGTCAGCTCCAGTTAGCTCGTGTATTGATACAGAAAATCGTGATACATCTCTTTAAAAAAACTAGAGCCAGAAAAATAATACGAAATAACGAGCAAACGGGGTGTAAAGCATTAAGCACAAACAATAAAAACTTTTCCCTGAGGATATCGCGTGAAAATATATTTTGTTGCTATGAGATTTGAAAAAGACGTAAAACCAGGAGATTTAATACAGATAATACAAAAATTGAGATCCCATCGCGTTATAAATAAACACAAAATTGTTGCGTAGATGAAGACTATTTTTTTAACCGTAACTTATAAAGCTTCACAAACGTTTCATAAATTTCACACCGAGAGGAGACGTAGATCATCCATGTGTTTATCAACATTTTCACATAATTTTCATGCTCAATCTGATGCATATATATGATTTTATAATTTTCAAAAAATTTGATGAGTTGCAAGCTATGCATTAAATTTATTCGATCGAGCAATTGTTGGCGTAATTTTACGGAATATTGCTTTCTTTAATGAATAAATTAATCTTGAGCTGTTAAACAGCATAAATTTCTCCTCGCTTTTTCATCGAGAGGGTGGCAAAATATTTTTATTCCACAAACATTTATATCTGATAATAATGGATCACATAAGCGAATTTGATATAAGACTCGAGAAAGAAGCGTACTATGCTGGTGAAATGATTCACGGTCACGTAATTCTGCATACTAACGAGAATTTCAAACTAAGGTGTACGTAGATTTAATTGGAATAGATAATTAATGAGAAAATTTGTTTTCAAATTTAATTTTGTTATGCAACTGCCTGATTTGTATATTTCAATGATTATAAATATATGTGTATATACATGTAACGCTTGTTTATGATCCTGCTTTTATTTATTGATTTACCCTTTATTCTCTATCCTTATGAAACATTTACTGCTCAATTATCAATTATTTGTATCTGACAGTTTTAAATAATTATTAATTTACAGCCATAAGGATGTCCCTGCGTGGTCAAGCTCATGCAGAGTGGAAAGTACTGGTAAGTGGAGACCGAAGAAATGTAAAGGATGATCAGTACTTTGTAGACGAAAGACTGTTGATATGGGGTAATGGTGAGTTAATTAGGAATTCTCTGATTTAAATTGTTTACCTATGCTATGGATTACTTATCCTTTTTGTATTTTCCTTCTAGATTCCTCAGAGGGTCCCATTCCTATTTTACCTCGAGGGAAGCATCAATTTCCCTTTAGATTCAATTTACCTGAAAGCGCATTACCATGTAGTTTTGAATCTCGTACTGGCTATGTCAGATACTACGTTAAAGCTACTGTTGATAGACCCTACGCAAGCCCTCCACAGGGCTTAAAGTACTTTACACTTATTGGACCACACATAGATTGTATGGACGAGCAGTACCTCGTCAGTATATATGATTTTTTACCTTAATGATTATTTATATCTTAATCCATAACTTTTATCAATTCTATTGTTTCAGAAACCAATGATAGGTACTGAGGTCCATGCTTCATGTTGTTTCTGTTGTCGAAGAAATCCTGTTGAATTAAATGCACAGCTAGAAAGATGCGCTTACGTATGTGGAGAAAGTATAAAGCTCAGAGCAGCTATTGATAATCGTAGCCTCGAGAAAGCTTGGCTACAAGTGAAACTTACTCAGGTAAACGATTTATTAAGTTACGGACAAAAATCAAAAAGTATAATGATGAATTATTTTCTCTATAGTACGTCGAGTTTTTTATTGATCGTGGGGTTCTGGGTACTAGTAGAGAGCAGCAAAAAACTGTTTTGGAATATAAAGGTGAACCTGTGACACCTGGTGCAGCTATGAAATGGGACTCTGCAAAGACTATGATACTACCAGTTTGCCCACCAACTCTAATAGGAGTCTGCCGACTGATACAAATATACTATGTCCTGAAGGTGAGTTGGTACAAATAAATATATATATATATATTAACGATACAACATTGAGTAGAATAATTAATATAAACTAATAATCAAACAGGTCTGCGTAGAGCTTGAAAAATCAGGAGAAGACTTACAGATGCATTTTCCAATAACAGTAGCTACAGTACCATTTAGGATACCCAACATAATAAAACAGCCCCAGATAAAATATGGTCTGTCTACATGTCCATCTTTGTATCAATTAATGGTAATAATTAATAAATTCATGACATACGTAAATCTACAGAAGTTGCTGCGGAGCATGTAGAAGGTGGCTGTTACGTGGGCCCAGAATTCCTCCTAGGTCAAGTGTACGATGGAACCGACCTAGCTCAGCCACCTTTAATCCTCTACAGGCCTGTCTACGTATGCGTGGCTACAGACCGAAGACATCAGGATCACTAACGAAGGTGGAACACCAAGGTGCTCTCTTCCAGGTAAACAAGCATCAGGGTAACGAGTAAAGGAATATAAAGTATAGAGAACCGAAAATCATGGTATGTTTTGACACTTAATTTTTAATGCCAAAGAGCAAATCACGGTCAATCTTAAAGCTATTCCATTAGGATACTTTTAGACTGATCAGCTAAATATTTGATATATATTATATATATGTGACAAACGGATGCAGAAGGGAAGTGATGAAATGCAAAAAAAAAAGGAAAAGATCAACGAAATGAGCAAAATAACATATGAATGTATGTACACGAAGTATTAGAGCTACCGGGTGTCGCCTTGTGGATTATGACTTATTGTTAGCAAAAAGATATACTTTCACGGTGACAATACAATGAGAATTAAAAAAAAATGAATACCCAGAAAGCTATAGGATGAAATAGAAAACTATATTTCCTTACGTCATCCGGGTTTGCTGTTATATTCTATTATATGTATACATACGTACGTGTGTACTCGGGTGAGATAAATCTTGGATCCTGAGAAAGTTACATAAGACAGAAAGAGTGAAACACCCGTTAGAATGTTTATATTTGTTGATTATACCTGTCGATTTAACCTGGTGAAAACTGTACGATTTCCTAGTTGCTCAGGCCGGGAACGTATGGTCGACGAATACATTCTTAGTCAATTACCTTGTATGTGAGATGAAGGAACCAAGATAGTAGAGAGATAAAGAGCACGAAAAAGAATATAGAAGTACAGAACCGCCGGGATAAACCGAAAAGGAATGACATTAATCGCATGCGAATTATGAATGTTAAAAGTAAGAGTTTTCACGACTGTGTTGTCTTGTACGTTGCCAAAAAATATTATAAAAAAGCTGTAAAACACAAAGGATAAAAAGAATGTTGAGAGTAATGAAAGTCCGTTAACTTATTTCTATTACATATATACACATGTCCAATGTGAATTATATATTTAAAACGTGTGTATATATATTTGTGCAGGCGCATACAGATCACAGAACAAGCCGAATTTGACAACCGTCATATTTGATTTAGTTTTTGACCTGGATAGTCCTGTATTTATAATTATGGTCCAGATTGCTTCTACTAGTCTTGTGATATAGTTCTCAACTGATCGATCAAGACTTTCAGAAACTTTGGTACTCTTATTTATTGTGTACAAACAAGAAAAAGAAATACGGAGAAATGCGTGTTGCGTATGGAGATGAAAATAATTAAATGGAAATTTAAAAAGAGAGAAAAGGACGTTAATATCGTTGCTAGCATTAGGCACTTTCAATGTTTAACTTTGTAAGGTCTTACGATGTGTAATAAACGTTTAAGTACAAAAAAGATAATGCGCGTTATTTACTATTATTAATTTTTGGACTTTAAATAGATAAATAACTATGCGACATTTCCAAGTAGAAAACAACGTGTAATTCTTGCATTTCGAAATATGTATATACATGAGTGAAACTGAAAGATTTACCTTAGACGTTAGAGTTTAATGATTAATAAAGAATAAGAAAACAATGTGCCCGTGAATGTTCAATCCGTGTGTCCTCACAGACATTTAAATTCGAGTTTTCGTGGAGTCTCCACGATGCGTTCACATGTCACAACTCATATTACAAAGCAACTTGGTGGCTGAGTGTCTCTTTGATTCGTAGTGTGAAATCCACCAGTAGCAATTCAGATGACATTAGATTTCTAACCACAGCTACCGAACCGACTGAAATATCACTGGAACTTGCTTTCAGTAAAAGCTCGAGTCTGATTTTTATAGAGCGACGGGTCAACTCTCATTCTGCACCACGACCGGTAAGGCGCTAAAGCCACGAGAGAGTCCAACGTGGATCCATAACAGCGACTCTATTACTGAAGCCAAAAGGACACAGGCATATCTTCACATAACTTCCATACTATTCTGAGTGTTCTCCGTAAACCCAAGTGTTGAAGAAGGTGCATCCTGTGTCGTATCCTCCATTGTCTGAGCCTCCATGCCATCAGGAACTGAAGAGGTTCCTGCAGTGCTAGCTCCATCATCCCAATTGATCTTAAACCTTGTGACACGTGGCTTATCACCAAGGATATTCCTTTGCACCTTATCAAACTGTGGCTGTGTCGGCGGATTCTCACGTAGTTCAGCATCAATGTATTCATTGTTAATAAAATAACCAACTCTGACAAATTCTTGTCCGCGGTAAGAACATGTGAGTAATACTACAGTAACACCCAGAGCATCGTTCACAGGAATACGGCTAACATCTGGTGGGTCAGCTTGAAAGACAAACATGTGTCGACCTTCAGGTATCGGACCAACATAAATAGTATCTAATACTTGATCAAATTCTTCTGATTCTGCACTACCAACGTAAATCATCTTCCATTCCAAATCTGAAAAGAAAAAGTTCCATTAAAAGTATGCATACATCACTATGCTAACTACTATAAAATATTCCAATAAGTCCAATTAAAATGAAATATTAAAAAAAAAACCTTTGAGCATTCCCTAAGCATCATAACCGCCCCACTCAATGAAAAAACAAAAGCCATGTAAACTGGACAAAAGCAAATATTATTCTAATTAATAGCAATAATGCATACCTTCTTTTAGTTCCTCGATACACTCAAAAGTGACTTCAAATTGAAAAGGATTGAGAAATGGCGAAGGATTGTCGAGTACGGCCACATTTGCAAGTTGTACCTTAGCCATTGTATAACTTAGGTTATTCACTTAAAGAAAATAAATGGAGAAAACAGGTAATATTATAACTTAGGTCAAAACAATTCTGTATACACTGAAAAAATGTCGCGCACGATCTTCGGTATGATTATAATACACATACAACAACACAGGTGTAGGAATAAACAATAGCTTCAGAAGTATCGAGGTTGCTTTGGCGGCAAATGAACCGAAAATCAACGTATCCGGTTATCAAGCGGCTTGTAGACTAAAAAAAGTCACGAGAAAAAAATGTCACTAGGCTAATAGTCAGTTTAAATATTTATCAAAATAAGAGGGAGAGAATGATATAATTACAGCGATATTTCACTACAAGCATTAGTCACTCTTGCACGCTATTGCGTAACACAACATTTTCAACAGATCCGAATAACTTCGAAGAAACGGGTGAGTAATTGTAATTTTTCCACTAAGAATCCTTTCTTTGAATATCGTGCATTATTCAAAATTCTTAACATCCGGCATGGCGGCTATTTTAACCATGAAACGAGTCACTCAGCGAAGAACAGAAAAGACCCTGATACCCGCAGCGATAAAATTGACAAGAGTAATAAAGAACTAAACCTAAAAACACCGTAAAGCAATAATTATGAAGAAATGATTATATCACTCCTTAATCAGAGATGAGTGGGGAGATGCACAACGCTCCGGTTTCAGGCGATACCAAAAGCATGGCGCTAAATCGTAGCGGCGAGTCCGGGAGTAGGATTTCGTGATCATCGCCTCTGTCGATGTTACAGATTTCGCGTAGCCGCGCGGGTCATGATCATCGTTCCAGCCGATATTGCAGTCAGCGAAAATGAATAGATTGCTCGGTGGTGGGGAAAAAGTTGCCGCCCCTCACAAACCGTTCTTGACAAACAGGCGGGGCAGCAAGATCTTCCGTCCAACCGAACCCTAAACGTTTGTATGGACGTAATGCGCAAACAAATGTGTATATTCAAATAAAGTTCAAAGTTATAAGAAATGCATAGAAATATTGGTTTTCACTCTTTACCTCTTATCATGCCGAAAATGAACATTAAAAAATGAATGGCGAAATTCGTTGGTAAATGAAACGACCGAGAACAGTTCAATGAGAAATTTTGAAATATCGTAGATAAATATCTATAGAAAATTTAATTTAGAATTAAACGAGCATCGTGGCTGAGTCAATAACCTGTCAAGATATACCGCTGCTGGTTACGGGTTCGATCCCCCACGAAGAACTCTTTCTTCATCTTCTTTTTTTTTATTTTACTACAAAAATTGTTCAAGGCTCCTCTCTTTTAACCTTTCTAGGTTGCCCAAACTTTATTTTAAGTGTATATATATATTTTTTTATTTTATCTATGACAGAATCGACTAATATTTTAAACGCCCGCTCGTGCCGAGCGACCGGCGACTTGAGCGATTGCGGATCCTCTCTCGCTGAGGGGTCTGCTATTGTTGTTACTGCTGCCGCTGGTTCTTATAATCTTATAAATACTTTTTTATTTGCAATCTTCAGTTGCAGCGCACAGTGCAAACTCAATAAGATTTACTATGAGAAAATAATTAGCTCACTTCATTACCTGGAATCAATAATCTTGAGAAGCAAATATGGAAATGAGCATTATCTCTGTCTGTAATTGTTCGTCCACGTGGAGAAGGGTGGCGCGAAAGTTCTTAACTGGTGTGCATCTTCATATTATTCTGCTTATATGTAAAGTAAGCGAAACGACAATAGTAAGCAGTTGAATAAACGATGAAATTCTGGAAATACAACTTCCGAAAAAAATAAAACAAACAGATGTTTCTGGCGTCTGGCTAGTGCACCCGGTTACGAATCGGGAGGTCTATGGTTCGAGAACCCTCTATGGAGAGCACTTTCTTTTTACAAAAAAAATGTGCTTTTGCAAATGGGATTAACAGATTAAAGAGTATATCCAATTAATTTATTTATCTTATTACAATAAAGGCGTAACAACGACAACCTGCGGGCTTCCACGTCACCTAAGAGGTGCCGCAGTCGATGCGTTCGCATTATTTAACGTAGCGGGTCCCCACTAGGCCTACACTACGATCGGCCTATATTATTTTTCAAGGTTCCTCTCTTTCAAATTTTCTCAGTTGCCCAAACTTTATTTTAAGCTTGTATAAAATATTTAATAAAAAAAGGTTGTCATCGGGATCGAAAACCATTTTCTATTAACTCACAATATTCTCTCTCGCAATATCCTTTATAGTAATAAAATAAACATGAGACGTGTTGCGTCTTGTTTCCTTATAACTATTGAAGAACTACTTACCATGATGCTGCTGCCTGTACGACTGTGAACGACCTGACGCTGCAGGCCCCAATGTGTGTTGCTAGTCGCGCGATAGTTAGCAACATTGTTGCAGACGCCCGCTCAGATTCGATCCGTCAGATTCCTAGACTGTTGTGTTGAAGTCGCCAGTACGTGATCTCAGTAAGGATCGAATCTGAGCGGGCGTCTGCAACAATGTTGCTAACTATCGCGCGACTAGCAACACACATTGGGGCCTGCAGCGTCAGGTCGTTCACAGTCGTACAGGCAGCAGCATCATGGTAAGTAGTTCTTCAATAGTTATAAGGAAACAAGACGCAACACGTCTCATGTTTATTTTATTACTATAAAGGATATTGCGAGAGAGAATATTGTGAGTTAATAGAAAATGGTTTTCGATCCCGATGACAACCTTTTTTTATTAAATATTTTATACAAGCTTAAAATAAAGTTTGGGCAACTGAGAAAATTTGAAAGAGAGGAACCTTGAAAAATAATATAGGCCGATCGTAGTGTAGGCCTAGTGGGGACCCGCTACGTTAAATAATGCGAACGCATCGACTGCGGCACCTCTTAGGTGACGTGGAAGCCCGCAGGTTGTCGTTGTTACGCCTTTATTGTAATAAGATAAATAAATTAATTGGATATACTCTTTAATCTGTTAATCCCATTTGCAAAAGCACATTTTTTTTGTAAAAAGAAAGTGCTCTCCATAGAGGGTTCTCGAACCATAGACCTCCCGATTCGTAACCGGGTGCACTAGCCAGACGCCAGAAACATCTGTTTGTTTTATTTTTTTCGGAAGTTGTATTTCCAGAATTTCATCGTTTATTCAACTGCTTACTATTGTCGTTTCGCTTACTTTACATATAAGCAGAATAATATGAAGGTGCACACCAGTTAAGAACTTTCGCGCCACCCTTCTCCACGTGGACGAACAATTACAGACAGAGATAATGCTCATTTCCATATTTGCTTCTCAAGATTATTGATTCCAGGTAATGAAGTGAGCTAATTATTTTCCCATAGTAAATCTTATTGAGTTTGCACTGGGCGCTGCAACTGAAGATTCCAAATAAAAAAGTATTTATAAGATTATAAGAACCAGCGGCAGCAGTAACA